TGTTCTTCATTTGGTCTTTCTTGTAGGCCAGTTTGGTCTCTTCAGTATTCAGTAAACCTTCATGGGGCACTAGCTTCAGTGCATCTTCTTCACCGTCCTTCAAATATTCTTCTAATGCCCTTTTTTCCTCTTCAACTATCTGGTGTACTTGCAACATTCCATGCCCACCAATGCTCCTTGGAAAATACAGTCTGTCAACATCAGTGCATAGATGAAGGGCATGATTCATTATTTTTCTGGTCTTCCTATCCAGGGTTTCTAGTTCAGCTTGAGTTAAGTCCACTATTCCAGCTGTATAGCTAATGATGGGAATTGCCCAGGTGTTAATTGCCTTGATGGTATTTCCTTCACTAAGTTTGGATTTTAAGATCTTCTTCACTCTCACGATGTATTCACTACTAACCTTCTTCTTGACTTCAGTGTGCTTGATGTTGTCAGCCTGAAGGATGCCCAGGTATTTGTAGTGATCTTCTTTCTTCAGACTCTTGATGTTATTTCCATAGGGCATCTTTCACTATTTTTCCCTTGTTGATGGTCAGGGTGGCACATTTGTCCACTCCACTGCAATATCTTGGCTGTATATTTGGACAATGTTGAGCAGCGATTCCATTTCAGGTGGTGTTTTTCCATACAGCTTCAGATTGTCCACGTAAAGGAGGTGGGATAGCCTGGCAGATGTTTTTGATGTCTGATAGCCATGGCCTGACTTGTTCAGTATTGCTGACAGAGGAATCAATGCAGTGACAAACAGTAGTGGTGATAGTGAGTCTCCTTGAAGGATTCCTCTCTTGATGTTAAACTCTCCCTGTCTATCACCATAGACCAGCAACTTTGTGTTCCATTGTGCCACTGATGTTTGCAAAAGGTTTCTGATTTTTCTATTGACTCCTGTTATTTCTAGGTTATCCAATCATGTGGCAGGGAGTTGAATGCCTTCTTGTAATCAATTCAAGCTATATATAAGTTGGTCTTGTTGGTCTTCCTTCTTCTACAGTTTTCCAAAATCATCTTGTCAGTTAGGAGCTGATCTTTTGTTCCTCTGCTGTTTGGGCAGCTTGCTTTCTGCTCAGATGGACAGAGCTTGTTTTCAACTAGATGCTGTTGGACTGCATCAGCTATCACACTAGTTAGCAATTTGAAAGTTGTTGGTAAGCAGGTAATTGGACTGCAGTTGCCTGGTGCTACCCCTTTTGTTGGAACTTTCATTATCAGGTAGGTTTTGCCAGATGTTAACCAATCTTCAATTTCATCTATTTGCACTATGTTGTTAAAATGCCTGGCAATGAGTGTAGACCAGTCAGATGTTTCAACCAAAAGCCATGCAGTTCATCTTCACCTGGTGCTGACCAATTCTTGATCTTCCT